AACAATGTCCCATTGGAACTGAGGCAGGGGACCAAATGTTCAAGTGGTTGGCCATGCTAAAAACATGATGCATGTGGAAATCAAGCATGCTGATGAGTCGGGATCTAACACAGTCTTCTTCCTAAGATTCCTTCTTCCTAAGACATGAACTTATTACATAGCAGAGTATTCAAATACTGTATTCTTCACTTTGAGGGTCTATCACATCTAGAAATTATTGAACACATGAAGCTGCCTTATACTGAGTCAGACCATTGTCAATCTCTTTACTGTCTACTCTAATTGGCAGCAGCTCTCTTTTGTATCACCTGCCACCTGATCTCTTTAACTGGAGATGCTGGTGACCTTCAACCAACTGCATGCAAAACAGATTTTCTACCTCTACCACTGAGCCATGACACTAATTTGGCTCTGAGTTACACTTTGTTTCCTGGACAGCCATGGCAGAAGACAAGGGAATCACTTCCAAAAGCAGGAACAGAACCAGGAAGAGGAAACAGACTAGAGCGATGGTGGCTGGGGACTAGCTGCTACAGGATGAGGAGGAAAGTAAAAGAAAATGCATCTGCTGGCACAGGGTGCTGGAGCATAGGTTGCTATGAAATGTAGCAACAGATAAGTAAAAGGAAGGCAAAATGAGAAGTGTTTGTCCCTGGAATCTACAATACGGAGTTGCTAAAATACATCTGCCAAATGACTATGAAGATGGATGTAGGATACTGTGTTAGAATTATAACAAAACTTACACTTACCTTACCTTGTATACTGTGCTGTTCTGCACCCTGGGATTACTCTTCTGTTTGTGATGATGTTCCCTTAAAGCTTTCCCTTTGTTGTATTATCACCAGTTTGGCTAGGAGCACGGACTCTACTCTGGGAGAACTGGGCTTGATTCCCCACTCCTCCACTTGCAGCTGCTGGTGTGACCTTGGGTCAGTCATGAGTTCTTTCAGAGCTGTTCTCTCAAGGGCAGTTCTCGAGAGAGCTCTCTCAGCCCCACGTACCTCACAGGGTGTCTGTTGTGGGGAGGGGGAGGGAAAGGGATTGTAAGCCACTCTGAGACTCCTTTGGGTAGCGAAGGGCGGGGTATAAATCTAATCTCATCCACCACCACCACCTCAAGGCTTTGGCTAGAAAAATCTAGCTGTTTATTCCATTGTGAAGTCAACAATATGCTCAGCATCCGGAACAAGCAAGAAATGATTAAGTACCAGCACCTAGAAACCAAGGGGCCAATAGTGCCAGAAGACCCAGGGACAGAAGCAGTAACTGGTAATTACTCCTAAGCAAAGGACCAAAACCAACAGTCAAGGATGCAGACCAACATCCATATACAAAGAGAGGAGTGCTGTACAGAGAATGTGCAATTTAGAACAGTTTAAATCAGGAGGTGGGCATTTGTTAGCACAAAGGTCTTAGCCTTCAGCCTCCAGTACTCAAAAGGGCTACAACCCAACATTCACTAAAGCAAACGTCTGATGGACTTAAGAGATGGTCCCACACTGCTTTTTAAGTTTTAGTCCAGAGTGCTTCTTGCATTAGAACATGCCATTGGCAAGAAGTCCATAACAATACAAATTCGGGTGCACTCAACAGTGAGCAGAAGTTCCAGTAGTGCCCAAGAAGAGTGGCATAGGAAGGTGTACTGATAGCTTCTGTTTGGGATGAAGAAGATACAACTGTGTCATTATTGAGCTCTGGCAAGTCCATCCAGACTGACAAAGTAAACTGCCAAACATATGGTGTGCTTCCACTTATTCATAGCTTAAAAATATAATTTAACAGCTATTTAAATATAATTTAAATAACATTTAACAGCTGTGGAAAGGGCAAGGTAACCGTGCAAGAATGTATGGGAAGACGATCCAGAGCCAGCAGTGTGGACCTCTGCCCCTTGAAAGAAATGGCCTGGTTAGATCTTTCATCTTTCTGCAATCTTCTCTCCCATCTCAGAGTAAATACAGCCATTAACATTGTATGTTCTGTTCTTTGATGGGCGGCTCAGGTTATTTGGGGTTTTTCAAGGGATATGAAACAAGCAAAACACTTAAGCCAAGGAAGGAGGCAAGAACAAGTTAGAGAAGTTCCTGTTGCCTAAGTTCCAGCTGCAACGTGCCTAAAGAGACAAATCCTCATTCATCTCTATGTTGAGAGCTGTTTTTGTCTATGTCTGTCTTTGCATTTAAAACCCAGCTATTGCTCACATACACACAAACAAAATCTAGCAGTCCCTGATGGTTCACCTTCATGGGTATCACATACCTTTTAAGTTACTGGATACTCCGTCTTCATAACTAAAACAGATCTGTCACAATAATGTCCAGAAAATCTTCACAACAAATTCAGACCTTCTACTGTTCTAAAAACATTACTTCAGCACACACACATCCTAGTGTAACAGTAGACAATAACCCCACATGGACTGAGCAGATTTTAGCTGCGCTACATTAAGACCTCATTTGGAAAAACAGGAGCAGTTATATGGATGTGATTAAAAAAACATCCATCCCATACGGAGGTGCTTACAAATACAACTTGCCCTTTCTAAGGGCCAAACAAGATATGACTGTGTCCTCATGTCCACCATGAGTATGCTACGGCCATTTTGAAGCCTAAAATGGGCTTTAGAAAGCCCACAAGCCCCCCCCCCCTTCCAGCACTTGAAAAGCTGCAGAGGAGAAACAATGCCTCTGAGGCATTTTTAAATCACCCATTTTAGGTTTTAAAGTAGCAGCAGCAAGTCTTAGTTTGGCCCCAACTCTACCCATGTGAAAGTGTGCTAACAGGAAGCCACAGAAAAGACACAGGATTATCAAACACAGAGCTTCCACAATGGGTTCCCCCCTCCAGAATGTAGGTGGTACTGGAGGACTGGGAGCGATTAACTTAATTTCACCTGTTGATTCAGAGCTAAAGACTGTCCGTGGCTCTGCACCAGCTGTTGGCTGTGAATCCTGACAAGCCTGCAGTTCATCTTCCTGTTTGCTGGCTTCTGTTGACTCAGAGCTGGCTACATCTGGCTCCTCTTCTCCTGAGGAGTCCTTGCTGAGCCCTGACTGACAGGTGCCACCCCTACATGTCTAGTGACAAGGACATGGAGCTCAGCGGTGGAGACATTGGCAGAGGTGGCAAGGCTCTAGGGCCAGAGGCCGGCAAAGGTGAAGCAGCACTGACGGTGGGAGGCGGAGCTCTGCAGATGGATAAATTATACTGGAATATGTAGACGTCTTTTGCACAACACACTGTTTACAAGCTGCATTTTTATGGATTGGACCAACAAAATAGTATGACTACTGCCACACGATCAAGCATTGTTTGGACTTGTGTTCTCAAGCAAAAGCATCTCTTGCTGCACAGCAAACCTCTTCTAGGAGTTTGTAATTTTTATTTCTTTTATTTATCCTTCGACTTGATATACCGCCCTAACCCCCATAGGGGTCTCTGGGCGGTTTACAATTCTTGGGTGCGAGTCACCGGAAACAACCCTAACTACGGCCACAATGGTACAAGGGGGGGGGGGACTCCCTACCGGCACCCTGGTGGAGGCTTCAGTAATTTTCCCGGCTCGGCTTCTTTTTCCGGCTGTAAGGTGTCTCGGTGCTCAGGCAGACAGGCGGATGTATGGATCGCCGGCGACGTCGTCCTCGGCCTGATCATGTCCTTTCCGGCTCCGCGCGCCTCCGGATGACGTCACTGCGCCTCCAACCTCCGTCGATGACAGCCGCCTAGTTCTTTCACCACTGGCCACCAGCGATCAGTCTGGCTCTGCTGCCGCCGCTTGCCGCCTTTCAGCATTGCGCCGCCTCCTCCAATTGTCTGCCGCCGCTGCTCCGCTGTAGCCGCCATTCTTGCCGTCGCTACCGCCATTGCTGCTGCTTCTCCACACACCTCCATAGGCGGAGGAGGGTGCCCCCCACCCTACTAAGGGTGGGTACCCATTTATCTACTCGCCGATAGTTACTTGGCTTTCAAACCGCTGGGACAGGGACAGGGACAGGGTTCATTATTCAAACGAGGGGGACATGTAAAGGCTTGGTTGCATGAGCAACTCCTGGAGATGTTCCACTAGGTATTTGGCTGAGGACAGCAATGGTTTCCCATCACGGCTGGCACCCTCCCCTGCTCTCCCATCGTCTTCTGTTTCTGCCTCCTCTTTACCCCACCCACAAGGTGGCAACACAGTCCAGAATGGGTTTAAGAACAGAAAAGTGACACCATCTTGAAATTACTTTAAGAATGCAATGAATGTTATTGATTATTTTTTCCTTGTCCTGTTTGATGTTGTAACTTTTGCTGTAAATCGCCCAGAGCCCTGTGTACACAGGGATTGGGTGATTAATAAATTTAAAGTATAAATAAAGTGTAAAATGATCTTCTCCACCTTCCTCTTCCACCAGCAGCCCATGGACAAAGGGCAGCATGGCCTTGGGAGCTGCAGTGAGGTGGAAGTATAGGGAAAAACATCACCCCCTGCCAGTCCTTGCAGAAATGCAATCAATCCCTGGTTGCTGTGCTTGCTCAAGAGTGATTTCTGTCAGATTTTCCCTCCTCAGTGCAGCTCTCAGTGCTGAACAGCACTTTGTCCCTGACCATCAGCAGAAATCGTGGGGGGCTGCTAGAGGGAGGGGGAAGTGGGGAAGATACTTTTGCACTAGCCTTTCCTGCTTTTACAACTATAGGTCCATCTCATGAAGTTCACTGGTCACGCCCGAGATTTTAAGCACACCTAAAGTAGCTGTCAGTATGTATATACTTTTCCAATTTTTTATTATTATTAGAGACTGGTGATGTTCAAAGAAAAAGGTATGTGATCTGCTGAAAAGAGGATTAATTGCTATCTGAAGCTGCAGAGCTGAGTTGAATATTCCCTGAGATGAATATGTTTTAGCCTCAAGGGACAATCCCTTTCCATATTAAAGAAAACCCTTAATTCTACATATGGTTAAAGATATTCTTTTTTTTAATCACAGACTGAAACATTATGATTACAAAATGGATGGTTAAGTTCAAAACCACCGGACACACAATTCTGGCTGGAAATATCTTGCCCACCATCACCACCAGTCTGGTAGCTCAAACAGAGTTCATATTTTGCCCGTGTGACTGAACAGTGAATTCCGGAAATATGGGTGATGCTGCATGGTACAGGCCAGTGAGACGTGTTGCATTCATGCAGCAAGCCATGGCTATTTTTTGAGACCTGTCTACAGGACTGCATCAGGAATCCCAACAAGCTTGCAGCTTTCTGTCCAGAGTCTTCTCTGCAGATCCTCATCATAGGAGAGATCAAGAGATTTTGTCCTTTGCTCGTTATAGAGATAGCAGCTGCCAACTCCTTCCAGCTCTGGTGAAACTGCTGCATAGATTGACGTGGATGCACCCTCTTCTGGTGTCTGTGGATTAAAGAAACCAAAGCAAAATAAGAGCATGTGGAACAGGTATTTGAGAGAACAAGGTTCATTGAGAAGCATGCATTTTAAGTGATGCCGAACTTTACTACTCAGCAGCTTGAAACAGAACTGTGCCTGTGATTTAAGCGAAAAAGAAATCTTCTGTTCATAATTTTAAGTGAGCATTATCCAATCTGTCTTCATGACTGTACAGTCTTTTGGGCAGGAAAATGTATAAAACAACATGCATGGGATCCATCTGGGTCCAGGCTTACATGCAGCGGTGGGGGGGGGAAGGCATTTGAAATGAAGCTTTTCTTTCTGCCAAGAAACCTGTCTTGCTACAGCCTAACCAGAGAGATAGTCTGATCATGTGAAAGGCAAACTTCAAATCCACATATGAACACACCCTGATAGTAAGCCTATTCAACCCAATGGGACTTTTAATTCTGAGTACACCGAATGGGATGGGAAAAGGTAATGGAACAGAGCTTTATCTTTCTGCTAAGCCATTGGTGAACTTTTTAAAATCAGTGTGATCTCTTCTGGATTTATGGGGTTTCTCAAAGTTCAGTCCAAGGACAGCTGAGGGAGCTTGGCCATTTCTAATTTCAAGCACAGTGGTTTGGGATATTGGTAGAGACGGGGCAAAATATCTGGCAACATTTTGCAGCTAATCCTGCAAAAGACCAAGATTGTAAAAAAGTGGGAAAGCTAGAGAGAGAGAGACAGACAGACAGAGAACTGCTAACACGCCAGATCTCCCTCCCTCTTGAGACTTGCTATATATTTCTAAGGGTTAGTTGTTCTATCATGAACAATAGACGATTTTCAAAGTCTGTAACAATCTGTCTAGTCTAATCGCACATGAGCACCACACTGAAAAGCATATTGAGGCTTCGGTCATACGTGCAGGAAAATGTGGGGGGGAAGCATGGCTGTTTGGGCCGGAGTAAAATAACACGCAGCGGCCCGATTACACGTTTTGTCGAGGTCCCGTGGGGGGAGGTGGCGATCACACGACGATCCTGCAGCATGGTAAAGAAGTGGCGCAGCGCGATCACACCAGCAATCGCTAGTCGCCGCTTCCGTAGAGAACGGGAGGTTTTTTTTCCAAACCGAATTTCGCGCATACGCATGACCGAGCAATTGCATCCGCAAAGCCCTGCCCATGCGCGCAACCAGAAACCACCCGCGGACGTCCGTTCGTTACGGGGACGCGGATGGCGGGTGGTGGGCTTACCGGAGAGGGTGACAGATGCTTCCAGACCCCAACAGAACTCCGAGGCATAGCCAATGGAGGGGGAGGTGGGCCCCCTCATCACAGCCCCCTAACCGCCTCCGCAACAGTGGCCATAGCAACCCTCCAGAGGTGGCAAGCCTGGCTACAGTGGGAGGGGGCAATAGGTGTGGGCAGGAGACGGAGGAATGCCATGGCCACCGCACAGCTAGCCAGCCGTCGACGCCGCAGCAGGCGGCGGAAGTCCCACAGAAGAAGGGATTTCCTGCACATGTGATCGAAGCCTCGTACTAGTTTTTTACTCTGCATCTTCGGCGGGAAGCCTCGGATTCGCCACGGGAGCTCTACACTTCCCAGATGTTGCGGTATGATCGTGGCCGGAAAAATCTGCCTATCTTCCATCTCTGTAGCATGGCTAATGCTCCGTGTGACCGCAGCCTGAGAAGAACAGTCCTGGAGGTCAGCTGTACCTGCCAGTGCGGTGTCCTCAAATGTGAAGCAGATACAGGCATTGTACCTCATCTCTGCTTTCAGCTTGCCCCTACTGCTTCCCTCTGTAATTTTGCATGAGATGGAGTGCGCCGGAAGGCAGGGAGTTATATGTTGCCTAGAAACCACTTTGCTCAGACAGTTTTGATGCCCTATGTGGCCAAACAAAGCTGCTGTAATTTCCTTTTCCAGATAAAGGAATTGTCTATACCACAAACATATATCAGAGCCACATGCCATTCTGTGAGTGTCTTTGTTTCTGAACATTACGAGCACGCGCGCACACACACACACCTCCTACAATACCTCAAGGTGCTTTGGGTGAAATCCATGGAAATTCAACTGGTTTAACAGTCAGAGTATTTGCAAGCCTTCCCTAAAATATTGAGTCATTATTTATACCAGAATACAAACTTTCTTCCTTCCCTAAGTGAAATTTTTATGGCCAGGAAAAAGAAAAGAAAATGTGGATGATGCCATCTCCTCGTGATCTGTGCCCTTTCACAGTGACAGACCCCCCCCCCACACACACTTTGTCTGCCTCCTACAAACTGCGCAGGAATTGAATTGTTGTCTACGTTTTCAAGCAACTGCAGAACAGCCAGGACACAAATGTATGATAGAAAAACAACACAGAAGATGACATTGCTCTTTCAATTTCATCACCAACCAAAAAAGAGAAAGCAGTTGTAAATAAATGGAAAGAAAGGAAAAGATCTATGCAAATTAAAGTGACCTCGTTTTTTTAAAAAAAAAAAGTAAGGGGGGGGGAAACAATTTCTGAGGTCTTCAAATTTTGGATTTTAAAAAGAAAATGAATGACTTTGACAGGATTATTGTTGCAACACAACTTTAAGCATAACCTACCGATGGTACTTTAGCACTGTTGTCCCTAGCAGTACTATGGTGCCCACTGACACCTTTCCTGGAGCCAGCAAAGTGCTTTGAGAAAGTGGGAGGGGCTAGGTGGGTGTTTGCCCAGCAGGGCATCTAATAGGCTGTACAGATTAAAAGCCATCATGTTAAACAGAGCTTCTGCCTGAAATACTGAGCAGTTCTAGTTATAGAACAAAGTTTGAGTCCAGTAGCACCTTTAAGACCAACAATAACACTTTCTTGGTCTTAAAGGTGCCACTGGACCCCAGCTTTGTTCTGCTGCTTCAGACCAACACAGCTACTCACCTGAATCTATTACAATTATAGATAAACTTGCTCCCTGACATTTTGTGGTTGGCTCCTCCTCCTGCAGCAGCCATTTTGTGTTTCACTCCACCACCTGTGGCAGCCATTTTGTGACTGTGCCCACCGCCCTGTGTCAGAATATCAAAGGTGCCCACAAACTCAAAAAGGTTGGGGGACACCTGCTTTAGTAGTGTTCAGTTAGTACTTATTCACCCACTGGCTATCACATTTTTGTAGTGTGTGTGGTAATATTTAAAGGTAAAGGTAAAGGTTCCCTTGCTCGAAAGCCAGTCGAGTCCGACTCTAGGGTTGCGGTGCTCATCTCCGTTTCAAAGCCGAAGAGCCAGCGCTGTCCAAAGACGTTTCCGTGGTCATGTGGCCGGCATGACTAAACACCAAGGTGCACGGAACGCTGTTACCTTTCCACTGAAGTGGTACCTATTTATCTACTTGCAATTTCTTGCTTTCGAACTGCTAGGTTGGCAGGAGCTGGAACTAGAGACGGGAGCTCACTCCGTCATGCGGCACCCGGGTCTCGAACTACTGACCTTCCACAGCCTGCAGTTCAGCATCTTAACCACTTGAGCCACCGCAGCTCCTGTGGTAATATTTACTACATCCTTAAAGGGATTATGTGATGTGATAAATTTTCAGCCATTGCTGAATATAGGCTCATTTAGGTAATCCATACTAGCTAAATCAACACTGATGTTTTCAAATCACTAATCTCTTTGTAAATGTCAGCCCCTGGCATTTCGCTGTAGTTTTCAACATGGATAGAGCCCAAGATCACCGGATGCCTGCAAGGATGTTGGGAAATGGGGTTTACTCACTGCCACTGGGTTTGATCTGAGATTTTTTACTCAGTATACAGCAATGTTACACACCAGCAAGTCATTTCTTTCTCAGCAACAGAACAAACACACTTTGGAAAGCAAACACCAATACTGATATTGCTAGCATAATTACACATTTTATCAGGATGAAATGTTCTTTACTCTGCCACAAGCAGACGAAGGTGTGGGTTATATGTATAAATGCATTGCATTCAGTAACAAGATATGAGCTAGAGACTATGACGACCAGGGTGACAGCAAATGAAGACTGTGGGTTTAATCCAGCATAGCAAGGTAAACTAAAGAGTTTTATTTGGCATGGAGATTTATCATCAAAGTGGCATTCTGTCAAAAAGAAAACTAGTACATGTCAGAGGCAAAATCAAATTAAAGTAACAATGGCCCCTTTCACATTACTGTACTAAACTTGATTAAAACCAAGATGTTTAAATTTTTTGCAATCACAAACCCAACGTAAGCAAACCAAAACAGTGATAAATCAATAGCAGCACATTCTGTTTTTGGAACTCCTCATGAACCGAAAGGAGGGATAGAACTGGAAAAATAAATACTAAATTGTCCTAAAGTTTAGTTCATATGCTGAACCATTAAAAAGGTAACTCAGTGCCCAAAGATTTGTCTAGATAGCTAAGCCTTACAGTGCTTTCTAAACACCGGACACACACATTGATCCATCTTCTCTAGAAGCTCATGCCAGAAGCCTGGGGCTATTGAAGAAAAGGCTCTGCTCCCCACTTCCCACCATCTGAATCTCCATAGAGAACAGGATTCCAAGCAGGTCACCGGTTCACTGAGTGTAACCAGCACACTGGGCATTCTTTGAGAAGTACAAGCCTAATTGTGAATGCCTTTATAGAAGGAAAGGGACATTTTTGTCCAGGAGCACCACTAGGATTTATCTCTCTTTTGACAGCACAAGAGCACCAAACCTGCGGGGAAAACTCACTTTTCCAAGAGTCACTGAGTGAGTCAGACTTGCTGATCTCAAGGTGCTATCATCTGTCCTATACTCAGGTTGGAATCTCAATAGAAACAGAGTGAGGAAGGATGGTTTACCCGAGAGCACTGAAGCTGTTCCAGCACTACAAACTGACTGAAGTTCCCAGGAAAGGCAACATGAAATATTGGTCTATAATTGTTATGGTCATCTCTGAAGAATAACTGACTTCCAGCCTCATTAAAGTAGTCTGACACTCTGCAAGTACATACTGACAAGATCTCTGCCTACACCAGCC